GAGAGAGATCAGAAGTTGGGACCTTCACCGGAAGAGTTTCTGAATTTTAGGTTTAAGGGTGTTTTACTCACCGGACGTCGATGATGGCGATGTTGGGACGGTAGGTTTTGAGGGATTCGATGAGTTTGGAGCCGGTGATATACGAGATGTTGCGCGCCATTGAGCTTCTTGTTGTTGCGTCTGAATAAAAGTTCCTTTTTCTTTTTGTAGATATTTTATCCTCCTATTTACAACAGCAACAGAAAAAGTTTCCTGCTCAGTTGTGCGATACGCATACGACGTCGGTTTGAGTATTAAAAACCCGCAGCCAAGTCCTAACCGCCCACTAAAGCCATCCTAGGGTAAGAAAACCGAGAAGAATGCAAATGGCGATGGACGGAATCCATCGGAAGGAAGCAGAGAAGACCGAGAGAAGGGAGCAACTGGAGAAAGAAGGAGAAGGTGGAGGTTGTCGTTGCGAGATTACTGTTCATCATCTTCTTCAACTTGGACGCAATGGCTAAAGTACATCTGGATTTCATTAATTTCTTCATAATTAAGTTTCAATCCATTTGCTCTTATATATCTCCATATAAATTTCATGTTAATTTCTTCAATTAAACAATCTATTTTTGGTCTGTTAGGTATTTCATGATTTCCAATCACAAATAGTATTGTTTTTTAAATTAGGGGCGGATCCTTAGCGCCAAAAGGGAGAGGACGCAGAGAGAAGACGGATGGCACGGTTTCAGGAACAAGGGTAACACTATTTTCTTTTTTTCTATTTCAATTTCTTTATATGTATGGCAATATCTTTCATCCTCTTCCTCTTTTCATCAGTGTAGAGAAACTGTCTCAGGCTTTGGAATTTTTCCCGTGCTCTTGCAAATTCATCAATATTACCCCTAGAAAAAAGCGACAATAATAAAAAAAGATACATTAATAAAAAAACTAAGAAAAATTATATTTCTCCTTGATCTCTCTTATTCTTTGCTCGTAGATCATTCGTCCAATCTCCGACAACGTAGAAAGGTCGGTTTCCATGACTTTCATCTCGGCCTCCTGCTCCTTTAGCTTCAACCATTTCCCGGCCGATTTCGTCGCGAGAAGAAACGGAAATAGAGTCGGACCCTCCCGAACCTGAGGCAATGGATTTTGCCTTCTTTCTTCCGATCGGACGTGGAATGGGGTCCTCGCCATCGGAATCCGCAACGTTGAAGGGAGGGATTTGATCGGTCGAACCGATAGTCTCGTCGACCTCAACCTCGGCGTCGACGGAGGATCTTTTCCGGAACGATCCACCGTCGGAATTGTTGAGTTGTTGCCACTTTGGAAAACGGCTCAGAATCCTCCAAAGATCGATGGGCACCTTGCCTTGGTGCCCGTCGTCTTGATACTGGGCCGTGGCAAGCCGGAGAACATCGACGTCGTTCGTCTCGCTCCTCTGGGACCGGGAGCATTACTCGTAAACTCCGATAAACTTTTGGACTTTACGGTTGATGTGGCTCCAATTGGAAGTGAGTTGGTCCCGGGTTCGGTAGGAGCCGTCCTTGTTCATCGCCGTGAAGAATTTCTCCTCGATACAATCCCACATCGTATCCTTCGTTTGCTCCGAACCTTTAAAAATGTATAACACAATTTTTTTTAGACACGATTAAATATAATATAGATAAATAAAAACATAAATATATTAGAAATTTTTTTTTTTTTTACCAATGATAGGATGCTCGGAAACGTCAACCCAAGCCGACGCCAATAAGCACTCCTCCTCCGGCGTCCACTTTTGGATTGACCGTGCCGCCTCAGTCATCGTGCCTCGTGCCTTTGGCTTTGTGGCTTTTCCGGCATGTACTTTTTTTCGACCCGGTCGGTTCCGGTTGAGTCTCTGGAACCGAATCTCGCTTGACGTACCCCGATTGTTGCGTCTCGTAGATCGGCGGTTGATCGCCCCACTTTTGGTAATACCACATCGCGGCGTCGCTTGACGGGAGATTGTCGGGAAAGAAGCCGGAACCGGAAGGATTCATGTTGAAAAGAGAGGGGGTGATTTTGAAATTTAAAATTTGGGAAGAAGAAGATTGAAGAAGAGTGAAGAAGGAAGGTGTGAGAGATTGGGAGGGGGGTTTGAATTATAAGAATTTTTTTTTGAGTCCAACGGCTATTATAGCCGTTAAAGGGGGGAGGGGAGGAGAATGACGAAGCCTCATTCCTTTGACGCAGGGCATGTGACGCCCGAGTAACGTCGCCGGGAGACGGTGTTTAATGAATAATGCCCCCGGGGCTTTAAAACGCCCCTAACGCCGGTGGACGTTACACCCATAGAAAAAAATTGGAGTGTAAAACCTAACATAATTGCCGCTAAGAATCATGTGACCAGGAATTCTTCTCCCTCTCATCTACCTACCAGTCCTTCAACTGTGACTCTGCACACCTCCACCCCATCGCTGCCGGCCTGTCCTCCGGTGACTTTCCCTGCCCCTGTCGGCTCCCCTTGGAGAATGGTAAGCATTTTTATTCTTTAATGACTTTGTTTTTAAATTTGTTCTCCGACCTCCGTAATGGATATTGTAAATTTTTGTAAATTTTTATAGTGGAGATAAGACATCGATTTTGTGGGGAGATTTTCAAGGAAGAAGGGACAGCTACATAAAGGATTAGAACTCTCGAATATGAAGATAATATAATACTCGTAGTTTAATATTGTAACTTCTGTAAGTTAAGTACTGATGTGGTTAGTGACCTTTTTGATAATTTTACTCCATATTGATTTTGTTCCAAGTAGGATACTCTTTTAATTGATTTTGTGAATGTTTTGTGAAACTGTTAATTATTCTTTTCATTTTTCCAGTTATGATAATTTGATAATTCGATTTTTTTCGTACTTGGTGTTTTTTTAATCATTTTTTTGCATTAAATTTAATGTGAGGATTATGCTCTATTAACATTTTTGATGAAGAAATTAAATTTCTTGAAACTTTCTTATTTTTATTATTTGAATGTTAGATTGCCATAAAATTCATTTTGTCATTTACATTGTCTTTAACAACCATTAGGGGCTCTCCCATTGGAACCCATTAGAAATGTATAATTCATAGTTTACTTTTTATTTTTTATACTGTAATGTTTGACATGCCCTCAATGTAACTTTATAAGCTTTTCTCATTGATTCACATTTGGAAAAGCCAATGCTTGGGTTGGGTTGCATCTCATTTTTCCTCTGCTCAAGTGAACTTCATAGCTTCTTCTGGATTGGGTTGCAGAGTGAATGAAATATTATTTATGGTAGGTTGATATCAACATGATATGTTCGGGTAATTCTGTTAAGGTAAATTGTACTTACGTTTTTCTTATATATCCACTGTACTTTTATTCTATCACCATGTTCCTTTAGCACCAATGTGAAAGGTGGTATGAAATCAACTGCCCTATTTAAAAAAATTATTAAGAAAGTAAAGGGTAGTGGTACCTGAAGTCTATGAAAGAAGAGTGTAACAGTATCAACTTGTGGCAAAACAATATAGGTTAGTTCATCTCATTCCCTTTCCTTGTTAGTTCATAGGGAATTTGTTGTTGTAACTCTTTTTTTTGCAGGAAATGAAGTGATAAGAATTAACAGCAGTGAATTCAAGCCAACATGTATGATTGCTAAGAAATAAAAATTCTATAAAATCTGCTTTTCTTTTTCATTGAAAAGCAAATCTAAACACCAGTTAATATCCTCTGTTTTCAAAAGAAAATAATTTTTGTTTAATATTTTATGAGTTGTTGAAACTGAAATTAGCAATAAAACCATCCAACTTAAGACTACCTAAATCATACTTGGTGAATAAAACCATCCTTCCTCAACCAACTTATGACAATAGAAAATATGCTAGTTGAACACATGCTCTTGTCCCTCTCAGTTCAAATGTAAAAAGAGCATGAACATTTAGTGTATTTCTCTCTAATCAAATGCAATTGCCAATGTGCTTTTTACCTTGCTGGTAGTGATTTGAAATCATCCATATACATTGAATCATCCATCAGTAGGCAAGTTTTATTGATCATCCAACATATGACAAAACAAAATTGTACTTGTCAGTTTAAATATTAAAAAATTAAGTCATATCCAGTGCATTTACTTGTCAGATCAAATGCAACTGCAAGTGTACTTTTTACCTTGCTCCTAGTCCTACTGATTTAAATTCACTCAGAATATCTTGATGCATTCATATGGAGTACGTTTTTTATACGAAGTACTTTGTATTAATCCATGGGATTCTAGGGTTTGGTAGGAGATAGAAACTACCTAAATTTAGTTAGACCTTTGCAAATAAAAAATATTCAAACAAACTTAATAGGAACTGTAAAAATATGGGACGACCATCTCATTCACTATAACTCTGGTAGAACAGATAATACAATGTGTGTGTGTACATATTTTGAGCAATATTAAATTATAACAACTTAATTCTTTCAATTAAGTAGAAGAAAACACTTAATTACTGCTCAGAAATTTATCAACAAAAGAATTTGCAAACCAAATTTTAAATAATATATAGAATTAATACACCTGCTTGCAGTGTAATAATGAAATCGTGTATTTTAACACAAAATTAGAACTGAACATTTCGATTTAAAGAATTATAAGAATACTTTAAGTTAACAAAGTTATACGATAACATAAAAAAATGTTTTGGCATATTTGAGAGCTGGTGGATGCTTTTAAACTATTTTTTAGCATATAAAAGTTTGAATTTGTAGATTTAATTAGTCAATTCTTTTGGGAGTAAAAGTAGAAGGGTAAAATATTTTTGAATCTGTGAAGGGGTATTAAGTAGACCATTGTTATGTGAAAGAATAAACATGATTTGATATTATGATGTAACAACAATGCATGGGTACATCTGATTGCTATTGAATAGTGTACTACTACTATTCATTGAACATGGCTTGATATCCTTTCAATGTCATTAGGCAGAATTATGTACGCTGATGAGACATGCACAAGTGAAACAAACAGTGAAAAAACACAGCTTCAAAAATACATTGGAAAGCATTTTTCTCTTGTTGAATAGATGTAGAGGAGATAATGTGAAATTGGAAAATGCTTTCCATTAAATAGAGAATAGCATATGACCAATTATTATATAGGGAAGAGCATATGACCAGAGCCTTGAATACACTGAATGTTAGGAGTTAACTTTAAGCATTGAATACACTGAATACAAATCACTTCTTGGTTCTACCAAAAAAAGAAGAAAAAAACATTCATGATTCATTGCACTCCAGTTCATAACATGAAAGTTACAAACAAAGCATCTCAAACATTAGCTTCAAGTGAACTCTATACAACGTAACTTTAATCAATTTCATCCTCTTCGCTTGGTTTGTTTGCATTGGAGATGTAGCAGGAAAGTACACATGATGTAGTTTTTGTTAAACCTGAATTTGGTTGAATTGTATGTATGTTGAATGACTGATCTTGTATTTACAGGGTTGAAGAAGTGGTATTTGAATTCTGCACTGATCTATTGATCTTATTGAAGGGCCAAGGGAATTGAAATAGGTAGATGGCAGGGAAAAAGAAGTTCAGTGTTCCCCCATAGAACTGAATGGCGGAATCTAAGAATGAGAAGAAATGGAAAGATGAAATGGTGAATGAGAAATAAGAGAAGGAAAAGCTAGACGATTTGTGATGAATGCCTTTTGAGCAATGCTAGGGGTACACCAAAAGGTGTACCCCAAATGTACACCACCCTCTTTTCCACCACACATTTTTATTTGATTTTTATTTACTTATTTTTTTAAATTTTTTTGCCTTTTTTAGTGGACAAGGAGGGGGTGGGGAAAGGTGTACCCCTAGCATTTTTCATGCCTTTTCAAGCATACACGTGAAGTATTGTACCAAATGTACTACTACCTCCGTCCCACTGTCTTTGTCCACTTTTGACTTTTGGAACTGTTCATCTAAGCACTTTGACTCATCAAATTCTCTCAATGTGTAAGACTAAATATAGTCATGTGTGATCTTGTTTGATTTGTCTTAACATATAGATTATTAATATATAATTTCTATAATTTTTTAATATACAAATTACAAGATAAAATGGATTAAAGAAGTGCATTGGATGGTGTGCTAAAAGGTAAGTGGACAAAGAGAGTGGGACGGAGGGAGTATTTCTTAATTATATGGGATGAATGTTGGCACAGTACTGCCCCACATCTTTATTTGTCCCCCCTCATATTGGAAGAAATTCCGAGACAAGGAAGATTTTTTGGACTGAATTCGGCAGAGGGAAAAACGCAGTCGCTTACTTCCTTAGAAATTTTCTTTTTTTTTTTTTAATTTTGCTCAAAGGAAGTCGCTGACTTCTTTTGAAAAAACTTTTCAGTCTGGCACGCTTTTACGCAGTGAACTTTTTTTCAAAGGAAGTCGGCGACTTCCTTTGAATTTACTTTTTGTTGACTAGTTCCCTTCCTAATCTTTTACTCTTTATATTTTTTTTATTTTAAATTAATTTTTACCTTTCAAAATAAAAACTTAATTTATATTAATTTCGTTTAGCATTGATTTAATTCAAAAATAATTAAAATAAGAACTCATATGATGATATAATTAATTTGACATTAAAAAAATCAAAACAACAAAATTACATTCATAATATAAATAAGATTTGTTCAACAAACGTCAACAGAAATTAAAAAGATAATCTAAAAGAACAAATGATTTTTAATGACTTGCAACTCTCTCCATCTCTCCCAAGAAATGTGAGAATTCAGTTTTGATGCCTTGCAACTCTGTCCATCTCTCCCGAGAATCGATTTCGCTGTCGACGACTAGACCGAGAAATTTCTTCAGCGGGCCTAACTGGAGGTAGAATACGTAAATTCCCGTAAACTGATTGTTGCGGGAAAAGCACAGGGTTGATGTGTACATTGTAACATCTCATATATTGTTCAACTGAATACATTGAAGAGATTTCGTCGTCAGCCAACCGTCGAAAAGAATGATACAGTCCGTGAACATGCACGCATGGAATACCATCGCTGCTCCAATGTCCGCAAGTACATGTTTTTCTTCCCAAATCAACTAAAAAGCTATAGATGTTACCTGGATTAGACCTCGATGTTCTGCTTACCACATATTCTTGCCCCCCGTAATGCACAGCTTGAAAAAGTTGTTTATCTTTCTCACGTTTCTGAAAAATCTTTGTGATTTTAGGAGTAAATAAACAATTTTTCCTCTGCCACGCAAAACATGCTTTACGTCGTGTCTCGAACTGATCAATGAGTTTATTATACGACATTGTGACAATAGCAGTTACAGGTAGCATCCGACAACCCTTCAACATGTTATTGAAGCTCTCTGAACTGTTGGTAGTAAGTATCCCACATCGATGACCGCCATCATGACTAATCCGTCCAGGACGTCTCGATACGCATTAATGGTTCCCATTCATTGTCACTGCTAGCAGTAAATGTCCTTTGTACTTTCCGTACAAATGCGTCCCATCTCACATATGTGTTTGACGTAGTAGGAAATAACAAACCTCCAATCAACTGTAAAATAATCCCTGTAGTATACTGAACTGCTTCCTCATCAATGCTATCCTCAGACAATGGGTCTCGACCTTCTAGTCTACGCAAGTTAAACCCCAATGACCCAAAATCAGTGTCATCCACCGGAAAGTCAAGAACCCTCAAAAATAATTGTGAATAGGTTTCCCGCAGAACATTTTGCGTAAAAACAATGGGTTCACCATCCACAGGTAATCCAAGAAGACACTCCACATCTTGTAAGGTAATCCCTAATTCGCCAAAAGGGAACTGAAAGGCATGAACCTCCGGTCTCCACCGTTCCAATAGGGCCGTGATTAAACTGTGATCCAATTTAATGGGTTGAACACGATGCACCCCATAAAAACCAGCAGTTCTGAGATTTGTCTCTATTCGATCATCTTCGTAAGAGCTTTCAACGCCGGCGTCATACCGGCAACAAAAAACTTTTGCATCAAGAAACTCTTCCTCTTCCCAAACGCGTCTTGAACGATGTTTCTGTTGAAGCGTTAACACAGCATCGTTTCGAGGACCGGCAATATCACGTTCAATTTGGTCCATTGCTTCATTAAAATTAAACGCAAATACAAAAAAATATAAGAGAAATAAAAGAAAATATACTCCATAAAAGAAACATATATCTAGAATATATACAAGACTTCCATCTTGGAGCAAAATAATGTGTGAAACATAAAAGAAACAAAAAAAATTTACTCTAATATACTCCAAATATATTTCTACCATATATACAAAACTTCCCTAAAGTTATTATTTACAAATGCATAATATAAAAGCAACATATATCCATCATAAGAATTTATTTGATTCATTTTTTCATACACTAAATACCACATTTCTAACAATTAAATAAATTTATATGATAATAAAAACAAAGTCTAATCATTTTAGCCAAAAAAATTATAATGATTTTGAAAAATTAAAAAATTAAAAAATTAATAACATACCTTTCAATTGAGAGTAGAATGAAGATGTGTTGTGTTGTGAATTATGATAAAATTTAGATGATTTGAATAAGGAAGAAATTTAAAAGGTATAAATTAAAGATAATGTGTTGGAAAGGGGAGAAGAGTGTTTGAATTTGAAAAGAGGTTGGAATGTGTGGAAAGGGGAAAGGGGTAGGGTAATTTAATGGTTGAATTTGAAAAGAGGTTGAATGATTTAAATAAAAAAGGGAAGAAGGGATGGAATAATGGGAGAAGGGATTGGGAACACGTGATTTCTTTTTTTATTTCTCAAAGGAAGTCGGCGACTTCCTTTGTCACTAATTGGAAATGCTTTACCTTTTTTGGAATTCAATCACCAAAATCTTCCCTTTCAGGGAAGTTACCCCTCATATTGTAGCCATAGTTTGCCCTGCTACTATAGCTAAGTTTTGGCAGGAACACTGTTCTTGCTTCTTTTCTCTTTGGACCATGCTACACTTACACAAAAAAATATACCCCATTTGTACACCACAAGTTTACACAAACATTTCGATGGTTTACACTGACACAAGTGTTGGTGCGTTAATAAAAATTCACACGGACACAAATGTTGGTGCATTTAACAAAAATTAGTTTTATACCAACACAAAGTGTTGGTGCAAAACTGCGGGGTACAAATTGGGGTACAACCCTTGGGGTACACATAGCATAATCCTTTCTCTTTGTATAGAGTAAGATAAGATGTGTACTCTTAATTGGAAAATGCTAGGGGTACACCAAAAGTGTACCCCAAACATCCCCCACCCCCTCCATCACCACAAAAAAAGGCAAGAAAAATTCAAAAAAAAAATGAAAAATAAAAACAAAATAAAATAAATGGTAGAAAGGGGAGAGGTGTACATTTGGGGTACACATTTGGTGTACCCCTAGCATATCCCACTCTTAATTTCTATGGTTTTAAAAGTTAGGTGGCTGCTTGACTTGTTTCTCATGTTTCTAATTTTGCTATGTCAATGTTCTTCTATATAAAACTATCTTCACAATATTAGGTAAATAACTTCACTGCCCCTATGATTTTAGAAATAGGCGCCAATGCCTCCTCTCCTTTTTCTTTATTGTTTTTCTTTTCTTTTTTCATAAAGAGAAGAAAAATGTTTGTGTGTAATAATAGAAAATTGTTTTTTCAAAGCTACATATTTTAAAAATTTTAAAAAATAAAAAATGTTTGTGTTTGAAATAACAAAATAAAAAAGATTTAACTTCATTTATCAAATTAAATATTTTTGTTTTTTTTTTGTCTAAAATAGTTTTTTTAATATATCGGGAACAAAAGAATACTGAGTAATGTCTTTTTAATATACAGTTAATCATATATTGATATTATGACTTAATTTTCCCTATTCTATAAAAGTATTTTTTCATATACTTTTCTTTTTCTATTCTATTTTTATTTTTATTTTGATTAAAATAAAAAAACGGTACAAAGTCAATGAATTAAAAAAATGAGATATGAGCTTTAGTGAAAAAAGCAAATATTTCATTGATTTTTGTATCATGGAAATGAACCGATATGATCATAAAGACCTCTTTTGGACAAAAAAAAAATGAAAATGTGGTAACAATGTACATTTATCAAATCACAATGTACATTTATCAAATCAAATGGGTCATGGTGCAATAAACTCTTTTTGTGGGCGATGGTTGCAGAGATTTTGGATGTACAGTATCCCACAAACTAAATCCAAACTCAAATACTCCGTCAAAATAAATACTACGTGTTAGTTGGTACTCGTATTTCTTAGACCACACGGTATGGAAATCGTGGTGGTGTCGTGATAGCCAGGTGGCGCCATATCACCTGCCATCACGGCGTTGAACACCGCTCCCTACAAGGTGACCGTGATGGGGGTGATAGCCATCACGATCAACACTGTTGTTCCTCCCACAAAACTAGCCGTTTAATGGCTAGTTTTCAATTTTTTTATTTTTTCAAAAATTATTATTTAAACCCCCCTCCACCCCTTTAAAAAATCTCACCTTCGCTCAATATACTCTCTCAACCTATTTTTTAAAAATTTCTCTAAATATTGTCAAAAACCATATTATGGATCCTAACTATTTGCAATTTCTCGAGTGGCAATGCAATTATTTACAAAATCCATCACAAGTTCCAAGAACGGCCTGACGCCCGTTGAGAGCGTCCCCCAAACGCAACGAACCCAAAAATGCAAAGGAAAGGGCATGCGCAATGAAGACTCAACGAGTCAGATTGCGAAGCGAGTGTGGGCCCAGACGAAGGAGGACACGCTGGCCTGGGCGTGGGTGTACGTTTCCGAAGACCCAATCAAAGGTTAATTTTATTACTTTACATTTTTTCTTACAATTTTTAAGTATATTTTTTTTGCTCACTATTTTGTTTCACGTTTAGGGACGGCCCAAAATGCGGAGGGCTTTTGGGCTAGGGTAACGACGATATTCCACGCCCTTATGAACATTGAGCCCTACCGCAACGTCGACACCATCTTCTCCAAATACTGCGACTTGAATGCAAAAGTCAACAAGTTGGCCGATATACACAACTCTGTCGCCCTCACTCTGCAAAGCTGAGCTAGTGACGAAGATGTTTTAAAAAGGACCTTGGACACGTACCAAGAGCGGTATAATACATCTTTCCCACACATCAAAGCGTGGGAGATATTGTTTGCACACCCAAAGTGGGCTCCGGTGCCGAGTGAGGTCTCCCAGACAAAACGGACCAAGACGTCGGAGTCTGGAGATAAGAGTAACCCCGGGGGGTCCGACGCTCGTTGGACGTCGATGTTGCTTACTGACGACGACGATGACATTCTGACCCCTCCAGAGCAGACATGGCCCATTTGTAGTGATAAGGAAAAGGTGAATAGGGCATCATCTTCAATGGCGTCCGGGTCCAAAGAGGCAATTATCGACGAGCTCGTCACCACCATGGCCACCTTCAACGATTTATAGTCTGACAAAATTCGGAAAAAAGTCAGGCCGCTGAGGAAGCACTCCGCCTATAGCACAAAAAGAATGAGTACAAAGAATATGAAATTCTTATGTCAAGTACTGGTCATTTGCCACCTCTAGAGCACGTGGATGTAGAACAATTCAAGTACAAAATAAGCCAGAAGTGGCTTGGGAGTGCAGCGGATGACTTCGGCGGCGGATCTTTGATTTTTTCAATCAAGTTGTTTTTTATTTTCAATTTCGTATTGTATCGCTCTTAGTTCTTTTTTCCCTGCATTATGTCAATATAATTTTAAATTTGCATTTTAATGAAATATTTTTTTAATGGTCTTATTTTAAGTTATTTTCATTTAAATGTGTTAAAAAATTGGGTGTGATTTACACCCCTGCAGTGTGATGGGTTGTGATGGGAGATAGAAAAGCTGAGGTGGCACTGAGAGGGATGTCGTGGTCTGATCTCCCCTCCCTTCTCCAGATGTGATGGAAGAGTTTGGAAACTATGTTGAGGCTTGTGGTCTGATCTCCCCTCCCTTCTCTGAGGAATTTTTACCTGACCAGGTGTTAGAAACAAAGGCAAATTATGGAGAAGGTTGGATTGGGTCCTTATAAACTCTCACTCTACTGCCTTCTTCAATGATATCAGCACTAGCCATCTTAGCAAAACTACTTCGGATCACAAACCAATTCTGCTAAGGTGTAAAGAAGATAATTTTCAAGGGCCTAAACCATTCTGATTTTTAAAAGTCTGGACCACTCATCACAGCTTTTATTTCACTATTAAAGACTAATCGAGCTCTACCCCAAGAACATGGGGTATGTCTGGACTAGCCAATAAACTTAAAGGCCTGAAACCTATTCTCTCCAGATGGAACAAAGAGAAGTTTTTCAATATTTTTCAAGATGTTAAGGACAATAAGGTTAAGGCCAGTAAAGCTCAAGAAGAGTTTGAAAGCAACCCCACTGATGAAACAAGGGTTGCTTCAAACTTAGCGTGTGCCAATCTTATCATTAGTCTTAATAGAGAAGTAGCTTATTGGAAGCAAAAAGCCAATATCAAGTGGATGAGTGAGGGGGACTACAATTCTAAGTTTTTTCACTCTTTTGTCAAACATTACATCTATTATAGATGAGAATGGTAATTCACTATTTACTGAAGAACAGATTTGCAGAGAGGCCATCAAGTTCTTTTCAGATTCCTTCACCAAAGTTTCCCATCCTGAAGTCAACCTTTACAATTATTGGAATATTGAATTTACTCAAGAGAATATTGAAGGGTACAAAACAATATATATAGGAGAAATCCTACCATAAACAGGAGTAGGAGAATAGGAGAGAATACACTCCTACTATGAATAAACTATTACCATAAATATAGATACTATATAATTATTTCCTAACATCCCCCCTCAAGCTGAACGTCGTGAAACGAGTGGAAGCTTGGACACAAGAGCTCGAAAACGTGGAGAGGGTACGGCCTTCGTGAGTAGGTCAGCAAACTGATCGGTAGATGAGACGTGTGAGATAGTCATGGCTCCAGCAATGACCTGCTCTCGAACAAAATGACAGTCTGTGGCAACATGCTTCATGCGTTTGTGAAACACCGGATTTTTGGTAAGACAAATAGCAGACTGGTTATCACAAAATAGATGTGGTGGAGGCATCCGAACACGAAGATCATTGAGAAGATAGGATAACCACATCACCTCGGACGCCGCAGCAGAAAGGGCTCTGTACTCGGCCTCAGTCGAGGACTTGGAAACACGGCTTTGCTTTTCTGTACACCAGGAGACAAGATTGGGACCCAAGTAGATCAGATAACCTGTAACGGACCTACCATCTGTCATGTCATTGGCCCAGTCAGAATCGGAGTAGGCATAGAGTGCCGACTTACCCGGCCGAAACACTAAACCATGATCAATGGTTCCTTGAATGTAGCGAAGAATTCGGGTGAGAGAGTTGAAGTCTTGATCCGTAGGGGCATGCATGCGCTGGCACACGTGGTTCACAGCAAATTGAATATCAGGCCTCGTATTGGTGAGTTACTGAACAATGCTTCGGAAGAAAGTCGGATTAGCAAAGGGCTTGGCCGCACCGTCTTCACCCGTGCGGACTGCTATGGGAGTTGGCGCCGGTTTGCAGTCCTCCAGCCCAGCCTTATGAATTAGCTCACGTGCATATTTCTCTTGAGAGAGGAGAAGAGAGGTGGAAGTGCGCTTGACTTCAAGGCCCAAAAAGTAACCTAGAGGACCAAGATCCTTCATTTGAAATTCTTTATGCATGGTCTGGATGAAGCGGCTAATGAGAGCAGGCGTACTTCCTGTAACAATGATATCATCAACATAGACAAGGAGAATAAGAGTACCCTGAGATGTATGCATAATAAAAAGGCTGGTATCATGTGCAGTTTGGCGAAAACCATATGCTAGAAGAAAGCTGGACAAGCGCGTATGCCAGACACGGGGAGCTTGTTTAAGGCCATAAATGGATTTCTGCAGTTGACACACATAGTCGAGATACTGTGCATCAACATATCCAGGAGGCTGTTGCATATAGATGAGATCAGAAACCTCGCCGTGAAGGAAGGCATTAGTAACATCTAGTTGATGAAGTGCCCAATTATGAGAGACTGCCAAAGAGAGAACAAGCCGAATAGTCTGTTGCTTAACAACCGGACTAAAGGTTTCAGAGTAATCCCGCCCATATTCCTGAGTATAGCCCTTGGCCACCAATCGTGCCTTGTACCTAGAGACCGAGCCATCTGTGTTGCGCTTGATTTTATAGACCCACTTACAACCAATAGGAGACCGACCTTAGGGTGCTGGGACAAGTACCCATGTTTTTTGATTTATCAAGGCAGAGAATTCTTCATCCATAGCCTGACACCAATGTCTATTTTTAGCTGCATCTCTATAAGTGACAGGCTCAAAGGTGGGTGGAGCAGAAGAAAGAGTAGAGGTTGAGTAAAGTTTTGGTTTAAAGATGCCACTACGGGCACGGGTCTGCATAGGGTGGCGTTGGGGTGGGGGAGGTGGCGGAGGTGGTGGAGAGGGTGGTGACGATCCAGGAACATTGTGTGAAGTGGGAATTGGGTTATGTGGGGTACTAGGACAGGAGGTTGGGGTGGGGAGGTGCGGCTGTGCGTGTGAGGAAGAGGGGACAGTGGGTTGAGATGGGGTTTGGGTTTCGGGAATGGGT